ATAAGTTGTATTAAAATTCCAACTGCAAAAAGGGCACAAGGGAACTTTTTGGGGGTGATGTAAATTTTCTATTTCATGATTACAGTAGTGGTTACAAGCGTATATGTGTCTCAAAACAGATCAAACTGTACACTTTAAACAGGTTCATTTTATTGAATCTTAAACTCCTTGAAAAAAAAACCCACTAAAAATAGAAGTGAACTGCCTTGTACAACATAGTGCTAAATAGTTTTTAAAAATGTGTTAATCAATTGTTTTAGAAAAAATAAGAGAATGAGAAATTGTTCTACATACATCAGTTAAAAACAACTGATAAGCAGCAGAGAAAGCTGCCATGGTTCCAGTTGTTTCAGAAGCCAGTGCCCAATGTGCCAGTTTATGGGCCATTTGGGAGTTCTCCATTCGAAAACTTATTCCCTCCCCAAACCACCCTCTTCCATCCTCAGCCCACCCTTGTACCACCTGGGTTGACTTCCTCATTTGGAAGAACTGAGATAATAAATGTACTTGAAGAATATAATATGACTCATCGCTGAACAAGAAATCTTTCTCCTTATTGATTGATTTTAGGCTTATGGCCAATCTGGCCTCCTTGTTTGGCACCATTCCCTCAGCATCACTTCTGAATTGTCCTTTCAATGCTCAGCTTAAAATCTGTTTTGTTCAAAAAACCATTTTTAATTTGACAGAAGGAGGTGGTATCTGATACCTATATTCATCTCCCAGTGTGGACACATCTACCATGAGTATACAGTCACCAAATTTGCATATTTATGTTAGAATCTCAGTTCTGTCACTAAGTCTTTGAGACCTGGAAGAAAATAAGGACAATAAAACCCACCTTGCAGGGTGGTGTGGATCAAGTCAGTTAGCATATGTGAAAATGCCAAGTATGGCATTGAGTAGGCGCTCAATAAAAGGCAGATGCCTTGTCAAGCCTGACTATATTTGCTGAATTATTTAGTCTGTATTATAAGTTTCTTGAAAGTAAAAGCACTCTTTTCTGCACTCTGTACTCCCACCCTAACTAATACATCCTCTGGAGACATTGTAGAATGATGTTTAGAAAGCTGGCAGGTCAAGGATAAAGTTGAAAAAGATTTACACAATAAATATGTAGATGAGAAGAGATCATTGAGGGGACATGGAAAAAAGGAACTCCATTTAGAGGTGGTGGCAAGGTCTTTCTTTACATTTCCTCTTTCCATTCATTTAAAATTTTATCTTGCCAAAAAGAGGGGACAGAAGGTTTCATTTTGATGAGCGGAGCTGCAGGACTGTGTGCCAATACACCTGGTATTGATTCATGCCAGCTGGGAGAGGAGCTTGGCTTCTCTGTGTTTTACTACTGTGGTTTTCTGGGCTGGGCAGCTGGGTGCCTAATAATGATAAAAACCATAATAATACTTCATAATTACGCACCGCCCTTTGCCAGAACTTGGGTTTAATTACAATGACTATGACGGAACTGGCATCATCTCATTCCCTGTTGGGGTGCAATACCCAAGGGCCTGGAAATAGAGTCAAGTGGCAACTGCAATCCTTCTCCTGCAGAGCCTCTCCTGGCAATTCACCCAGAGTGCTCTGGGTTTGAAGCTCGTCATCAGAAACAAAGAATACTTTTAAATTGCCCACATGTACTGGGCACTGTCAAGTAAAGTAGTGCTTATGATGCAACTCCTGCGCGACATGGGGCACAGCATCATGGAATCCCAGGCCTGGAAGGGACCAACAGAGGTAATCTCATTCATTATTACCCTGCCCCCTGCCATGAGGCATAACTGCCTCTACACTCTAATAGATGAGCTCACTGACCTTCCACTCTGATTGAGCTGGAGATTCTTCTGTGGCAGCCTGATTCAGGGGTCAGGGGATTCACCAGTTCATTTCAACATGCATTTTGTGAGCACCTATTCTGAGCCAAGGCCCTGTGGAGGCATAAAAATGTATAAGGTGTGATCCCTGCCCTCAAAGTAGCTTATCTCCTAGTTGGGGGATTTGTATTAAGGCAGCTGTAACATATAGATAGGGGGAAGTCCTGGCAGATGAAAGGAAAGAAAATCACTCCAGTTGAAAGGATCAGGGCTATCTTTTCTTCAAGAATAAGAGGAAAGGATGAGAAGGTGTTGAGCAGGGTGGGGAGGCCGAGGGGCATGGGGGAGCGGGGCTGGGGAGATTGAGGTGAAGAGCTGGGCAACAACTTCGGGAGGTTCTTGCCGGTTTCCCTGTTTTTCTGGGGTGGGGGGAGATCTTTATAGCACATATCACCCCTGAATTATTTTTTTCCTTAAGAAATATAGCTTATTTATTTTATTTTTAAAATTTTTATTGAAGTATAGTTGTTTTACAATGTTGTGTTAGTTTCTTCTGTACAGCAAAGTGAATCAGCTATACATATACAAAAATCACCTCTTTTTTGGATTTCCTTCCCATTTAGGTCACCACAGTGCACTAAGTAGAGTTCCCTGTGCTATACAGTATGTTCTCATTAGTTATCTATTTTATATATAATATCAATAATGGGTATGTGTCAATCCCAATCTCCCGATTCCTCCCACCACCACCCCCTTACCCCCTTGGTATCCATACATTTGTTCTCTACATCTGTGTCTTTATTTCTGCTTTGCAAATTAAGATCATCTGTACCATTTTTCTAGATTCCACAAATATGCGTTAATATATGATATTTGTTTTTCTCTGACTTCACTCTGTACGATATTCTCTAGGTCCATCCACGTCTCTACAAATGACCCAATTTCGTTCCTCTTTATGGCTGAGTAATATTCCATTGTATATAGCACCACATTTTCTTTATCCATTCCTCTGTTGATGGACATTTAGGTTGCTTTCATGTCCTGGCTATTGTAAATAGTGCTGCTATGAGCACTGGGGTATCATCCCTTAATTATTTATTTGCTACTTTACTCATATATGCTTTGTCTCACCCTACTCAGGAACTTTGTCCCTTTTGTTTACCACTATATCCTGAGCACCTCAAAAAATGCCTGGCACATTGTAAAATGCTTAGTAAATACTGGGCTAATGAATAAATGGCCCAGGTGAGGCAGTGGCTGTAGAAATTGAGACAAAAGGCATTTAGTAAATATAATCAGCATGATGAAGTTCAAAGGGGTAGGGAAGTGTTACAGCTGTGAGGGAGTAGCCTGGAGGACTGCTGGCAGATTCTGGTGTGCTTAAGTGAATGAATGGTAATGTTATCAAAGAAGATAAAGAACAGATGGGAAGGAGCAGGTTTGCGGTCTTCTTAGTAGGTATTTGTGTTCTGATTTGGATATGTCAAGATTAGATTCAAGTGGAGATATCCAAAAGCACTGAGGTATGCAGATAGGGATCTCATTAAAGGTACACTCAGCCATCAAAATGGTTAGACCACCTAGTGTGCAGTAGAATGACTGTGCACCAACTGAGGATCAGATCCCGGGACTCTCTTAAAAAGCCAACACAGAACCGATTTATAAAGGTTAACTGAAGAGAAATACAATCTGAGGGTTTATGGTCTTAGGTAAACTGGGGTGAGGGGTACGTTGGGGAGGAGAAAAAGGATGTAGTCCATAGAATCAACTGCAAAAGAGATCATATAAGAACGAAAAAGTGATCCTTGAACTCGATCATATGGATGTCACTGGTAGCCTTAAGAGAAGCACTTTCAGTGGGTTAGTAAGGAGTATAATTTAGCCTGTACTGGAAGCATGAATTGAAATAGGATGAGAACTAGACAGGGTCTCATAGTCAACTTTGTTTTGTTCTGTCTGGAGGCGTTGTAATACGATCAGGGGTATGTCTAACACAGAAGTGTTGGGTAAATTTGTGAATGACGACAAGGCTTCTGTAAGGCCAGATGGCCTGTCCTGGCGTCTGCACAATGCCTCAACTACGCTTTTATTCTTTCAGCCATTTCTAGGGCGGGGGCCCTTCCATACAAAGTGCAAGCAAAAAGTGGGAGACACTCCTCCATCTGATCATTGAGTCACGTTTGTGACAGCTGGGAGTGGGGATGGGAATGCTTGAATTAAACGAAGTGCCCTGGTTCCCGTGGATCTTGGAATTTAGTAACAGGGAGGGTCCTTGCTGGAGGGAGCTAGGGAGACTCATTCACAGTTTCCGACCGGGCACTCACGCCCTCCATTCAACATTTTTCCTTTCCTTTTCCCTAACAGAGTTGAAACCAGGGACAAAGCTTTCCTGCTTCTCCCTCCTCAAGGTTGACCTTCCGCCCCCAAGCCCACCTCTGGACCTTCTCCGACCACGTGACCCTCTTCAGCCCCCGTGACTCGCCGCCGCCAACCCCTCCCCTCCGGCCGCAGCCCGCCTTATCCCGCCTCTCAAGCCCACGTGACCCCCTCTCTCCCACCTGACTGGCTCCTCCCTTTCCCCCGGGCCGGACCCGGCCGCCGTCGCAGCGGCCTGACTCCAAAATGGCAGCCGCGCACAGCGCGCACCCGAGCGGCCGGACCTCCCTGACTCCCGGGCCTCCCAGCTCTCGCTCCCTGCCTCCCTCCTTCGGCCCTCACCCACACGCCTTCGGATTGGCCGTTAGGAATCCCGCCCCTCCAGAGCCCCGTCTGCTATTGGTCACGGTAGGCTGCCCTTCAGAGAGGCGTGCCCCCGCCGCCCCCCGCCCCAGGAGGTATTTTCCATTCCGGTGGGGGTTGGGGGAGGGGGGGAGGGGAAAAGGGTGAAGAGGGGGAGGTGGCCGGGGAAAGGGGTGGGGGCTTGGCGGGGGCATCCGGCGGAGCTGGGGTCTCCGGACTCCGTCCGGAGGAAGCGAGACTGCGCCCGCTCGGGCAGTCGGAGGGAACGGGACGGGACCGGCGGGCGGGCGGGCGGACTCGCCCTCTCGGTGACTGCGCCGTCCGGGCCCGTCCTGCCTGGCCGCAGGTGCCCCTGGATGAGGCCGCCCCGCGCGCCCCGACCGGTGAGTGTCCCCGGTGGCCCGGCCCTTGAGTGCTCCCTGGCCCCCGCACAGCCGTTAGCGGCCGCCTCTTCGGCCCCCGGTGCTTGCGCCCGGCGCAGTCCGCCTCCGGCCGGCGCCTCCACACCCCGGGCGGAGGCAGCGCCGGCCCTCTGGCCGAGAAGAGGACGACGGGCGGGGGACGGCGGACCCGGGCCGCGAGCCCCGTGCAGACCGTGCGGCGCGTAGTGGGAGCTTGCGCTCAGTGGGCTCTTGATGCATTTCGTTGAATTGTTTTTCTGGTTGGAGGAACGTAGGGCCCCTAAGAGGAAGGGGGTCGCTCCGGGCTAGCCGGAGGGCGTTCGTGATCTGGGTCGTGGTGAATCGGGGGGGAGGTCACCGGAGACTGTGGGGCATTTGCGCGCGTTGCAGGGGAGGGGGCACCCGCCAAGTCACTTGGGGCTCTGAGGCTCCGATCCGGGGGTCCTCAAGGTCGACGAGAAGAGAGGTTCATCCGGAGATGATAGAGGGAACTGGGGAGCTTGGATGGGGGAAGTGACTGGAGCACCTCCGGAGTTTAACCCGAGGTGGAAAGGGATGCGCAGGCGGGCGCTGGAAGACCCTCTGCAACTACTTGGGGTCCTAAGATTCTTTGGTGCTGGGATTTGGGGATTCAAGCAGCTGAAGCGAAATGACTTTCTGGAGAGGGAGTTGCATTTAAAAAAGGATGCTCAGAAACAGTTTAAGCACACAACTTGCTTGGTTCTGAACTTTGAGAGGCCGGGGTATTGGAGTCACGAGGTGATTTCTGACATTTTCTTTCGGCATTCCAACCAAAAGGTGGACCTTGGCAGTTATCTTTTATTTTAAAAGGTATGTATGCGTTCGATGGTGTTATACCAGTTAGTAGTTTTGCTGGAAATTCTCAAACTGCACCTTGAAATTCTTGTAGCAGCTTCTCCATCTGCTGAAGATCCTTTCTTCAGGTCTCTCCATCCATAGCAGTGGCTTACTTCCAATTTAACATTTAGACTGGACTGTATTATTACAGTTTGCTACTGGCTTTTATTCTAGAAGATTAATAAGTAATTCACATGCTTTCTTTCCCTTGCTTTTAATTGTTTCTTTACAAGGTCATGCAATTTTAACTTTTTAAAGTGTTGGACTGGGAAGATGTTGGTAAGCTAGCAGCTCTAGAAAGCAGTATGCAAATTTGGGAATCTTAATGTCAGATGCTTAGTTTAATTTTAATAATCTTGTATTTGCATAATTCTCTTGAGAGTTGAGAACATAGAAAATGCATACCAGGGTTGGTCCACAGAATCCACCTCTGTGGCAGCCCACGGAGGTTCTTCATGTCACTGAGAAGAGGAAGCTAAGAATTGCACAGCTAGCTTTTTAATCTTTTCTTAATTATATATGTTATCTTACTAATTCCTCACAATTTACAAAATAAAAGCTTTTTTTTTAAAGGGAGCACTTAAACATGTATGAGAAAATTTTGTAGATTGTATTTTCCCTTTGCTGTAAAATGTAATTCATCAGAGAAAACATTTCTGCAAAAAGGTGTTAATATATTCAGTTGGCACCTTCTTAGTTCTTGAATAAATAATGGATAATTAAATTTTTTCTCCCTATTGTCCTTGAATTTTACTGTCCGTCTTTAGGGAGAATGTACTGGCACACAAAATAGTAGCCTAAAATATTGAAACCTAACACCTTTTAACATTATAATAGCTTTTACATTATGCACCTTCAGACTCATCTATGGCAAACCAGTGGTCAGGAAGGCTTTCTCCTATCACCTTTGTTTAGAATGGGCTGTTTTCTCCCATTGTAAAACTAAGGGAAAATAACGCTTAATGCCTGCAAAGTAGTGGTAATAACTAAACAGAATGAGAATGGGAAGCTTGGAAAAAAGATGTATGTGTATGAGTCACATTTCTTTTAGAGCTGGAAGAGTAGACCATGGATATGATTATGTTGCAGATCAGGAGACCGAGACCCAGACCAGTGGAAGGGACTAAAATTCTAGCTAGCGACGAGCCAGGATTGGTGGGCAGGTCTCTGAACTCTAGTCCAGGGTTTTTCTACTTTATGACATTCACATTGCTTATTTCTAAAGCATTCTAGTGCCAACTGTAAGTGGTTTTAGGATTATGGGTGATGTTGTTCCCTTCCAAGGATGGGGAAGTTTGGGTTGACTACTTTTATGCATGAAATGACATAAAGCAAGATGAGCTTTCATTGCACAGTTTAAAACAGTATGCTGCAGTGTTAGTGGAAGTGCTGATGTTCCCCTCTCATTGGGAAGAGACAAACTGTCATCTAGATTGAAGTATTAGATGAACTTCTTAGAGTAGGCTAGTGTGCTTTAAATTTTATGCTAAAAATTAATTGCTTAAAAATTTCTCAGAATTCAAAAGGCTCTGGTATTTTCAAGATAAATTATACAAAAATTATTATTTTAAGGAAGTGTGGGGTTTTGTTATGTTAAAAGGGATTTTGGTACCTTTGCAAAGAGCAGTAGTAGAATTACATGATACTTAGGAAAACATGATTTTGATCATAGTTGTAGGAAAGACTGGATTTGTATAATTAACATTATGATCCTTGGCAAGTTATTTAACCATTATGTACCTACGTTTCCTCACATGTAAAGTGAGGTTAATAAAAGTACCCACCTCAGTAGGGTATTGGTGAGGATTAAAAGTGTTTCCTTAGCACAGAGAAAGGGTGCAACAAATATTAGATATTATTTGTAATGTTCATTAGGTATGTACAGGTACTTGTATGCTAATTTGTTTCCTTGCTGTTAACGAAGTAACTTTGTGGCTACAGAAAATTCCCAGATAAATACATGATCAGTATTTATCATATTTATTTTATAAATAACAGTCTGCTTTAAGGGGCACTTAGTGCAAATGATGCCCTCATTTATTATTTTTTTTAGTCCTTACTCTGCTCACCTTGGACCTTGAATTAGGTGTACCTATCAAGGTAGAGTGAAGGTGGCTGTTTTTCTGAATGTCATTGGGAGACCCTGTTGCAGTTTCATTATTCTAGAATTAAAATGTTAATAATTGATTTGCAGATATTCTACTGAAAATACAGTGAGTTCTGGAGTCCTACTGATTAAACTTAGCTGAGGAAACCAGGTCTATTATTATTATAAGGTCTATTATTATTTGCAAACCCCTTCTCCCAATGGAACCTTGAGAAAATCACTGAACCTTGTTTTCTGTTAAATGAATATTTTGATGACTTCATTCATTAAACTGTTAGGTTTTAGTGATAAAATTTGCTTAGCTCCAATTTTGTAACGTTTCGTTCTTTTTGATTTGCTATAGTCCAGGCCTAGTTAGTCTCAAGAACATGTGGTTTAGCAAATGTGCTTTATGGTGACAGTGGTGAATTTCTTCTCCTGGATATTCTGGAGTTCTTCCTTATCAGGTTCTGCAGTTGATTTTATAGCAGCTCGTCTTCCGTTTACAGTCCTCTTAACTTTTATTCAGCCACGTTTTTGTGATCTTTCCTTCTCACAACATCTTTACCACCTGTACCTCCACGTAGCTTCTTACCAGCTGTCACACATGAGCTTACTTTTTTTTAGACCTTTTTTTTTTTAACATTAATTTCAGTTATTTTTAAAATGTATATCACATAATATTTAAAAATTGCCCTTATTTTTAGAGTTTCATTGAATTGAACCCATTTTACAGGTTTGAGATTAAAATCAGAAACAGGTTATAGCTCAAAAGCATCTTTATTATGCCAGTAGTTGCTTTTTCCTATTTTGTTTTAGATCTCAGGCAGGCATTTTGTTGGTGGTACTTCAGATGATAAATACGTCCCTTTACTCTGAAGTAATGCTAACCAGCAGAGCTAAGAGAGTTACATGGCACCATCAGAAGCTTCCAGTTATTTTTTTTCTTTCATTGATACAGAATTTTAATGTTTGAGAGTGACCAGCTCCTAATCTTCTTCTGATAAATTATTTTAATAAAGATTATGAAATTATTACAATTTGTTGGCCATTTTTGGCCTCATGACATGCTTTTAGGAATTCTGTAGAACTTAGACATGCAGACCTTTTCTTCACGTCTATTGCATAATCTAATTACGTGAATAAAATATTTAATTAAATGTGGTTTCAAAAGATACCGTAAATATCATGCTATAATAAAAACAACGAACCGTTGCTCAGTTTTTCATTAAGTTGATTTTCTTTATATATTTAAAAATAATAAACACATATATATGGAGTCTCAAAAAAAAATGGTTCTGAAGAACCTAGGGGCAGGACAGGAATGAAGACGCAGACATAGAGAATGGACTTGAGGACACGGGGAGGGGGAAGGGTAAGCTGGGACAAAGTGAGAGAGTGGCATGGACATATATACATGCTACCAAATGTAAAACAGTAGCTAGTGGGAAGCAGCCGCATAACACAGGGAGATCAGCTCAGTGCTTTGTGACCACCTAGAGGGGTGGGATAGGGAGGGTGGGAGGGAGGGAGATGCAAGAGGGAGGAGATATGGGGATATATGTATATATGTAGCTGATTCACTTTGTTATAAAGCAGAAAGTAACACACCATTGTAAAGCAATTATACTCCAATAAAGATGTTAAAAAAAATTATGGCTTATGAATTGCCTGTTAGTCATATTGAAAATTCATGGGTACATGGACTGAGTAGTACAGACCATGCAAACTACTTTCTTAGCTTCAATGTAGATGTTAGAGAGTGAGAGTTAGAGATGTTAGAGAGTGAGATAGTCTAAATTATATTTAGAGGCTGAGTTGTGACCCAGGAAGGGGATCCAGAAGTCATGGAGATAACTTCCTTGAAGGCATTTATTGTAGTTACTGGCTGGCTACAAAGTCCTAGGAAGAACATGTTGAGTGTTGTGGGACATGGTTCTGAAAACAAGAATGATGTTGTACATGAAAATAATTATAAAAGGGGTTACCATTTTTTGACTGTTATGTTCCAGGCCAGGTGATTTGCAATCATTCTTTGATTTAATTTTCTTAACAGTTCTGAAAGGTGGATGGCATTATCCAGTTTTATCAAAGAGGAAATTTGATTCAGGGAGGTTAAGTGACTTTCCCAAGTTGGCCAATATGTGGTACAATTGGGACGAAGGTCCTGATCTTTTGATTGTTAACCCTAAACATTTCCGGGATATTAGGAGGCAGCTTTGAAAACTTGTAATCGTTTAATTTAGAGTTTATGAAATGTTGTTTTACTTCTTTGCTGTGGCAACTTTGGATGTCATTACCACAAGAGGTAGTATCTAGATATTTTGAGAGGATTTAGAGACATTCCTTAAGTTCTTGATTGTTAAGGAAATCTAGGGATGTTTTGTGTACAGTCTTAAATGCAGTGCTGGCTGCCCATAAAATGTTTCTCCTGTTGCCTTTATAAAATGCTGGATCATTAATGGGCATTAATAAGGGTAACATTAACAAAGAAAATAGTTTTTGGTGGGAAAGACTACAGAGTAGACGTCCAGCGACCTGGGTTCTTCTACTGGTCTGAAAGACTGGTGTGAAAACATTAGGATAGCATTGAAACAGCCTTAACGTTCTTGCTCTGGGAGTACGGGAAGGCTGAGCTGTGTCTTAAGACATGAGCAGGTGAGGAGAGGTTGTAGAGTTGTAAGCAGAGGGAGTACCAGTGTGTTAGATGAATCACTGAGCTGTATTTTTTTGAACTGTAATTTCTTCAAATGTGAGTTAAAATATAAGAAAATATTTTACTTATAAGGGTAACTAATGTATTATATAGAAACTATTACACATATTTCGTATTTGTTGATTTTGGAATCCCCCAAAAATGAGGTTCTAAGAACCAAGTAAATGTGAA